AACTGAATCCAAAGGGAGTATGTCTTGGGATCTGCCAATCTGTAGCTTAGTCAGACAGAAAGTGTGAAAGTGAAAGTGAAAGTCATTCAGTTGTGTCCGACTCTTTGCGACCCCATGGACTATAGAATTCTCCAGGCCAGAATACTGGAGTGGGTAGCCTTTCGTCAGACAGAAGTTGTAGATAACTTCTAGGACCTACTACTTGCAGTTATCATCTAAAGTGTGCGTGTCAGGGGGCAGTCTTTGAGAGTGAGTCCTTAACCGTGGGATCTGAGAGCATCTTCAGGTAAATGGTGTCACAATTGATTTAAATTATGACACTCAGATGGTATCACATAAAATTGCTTGCTGTGGGAAAAAAAATTCTGATACATTGGTGTCAGAAGTGTTGTGAGTTTGATAGTAGTAGGAGAGATGCAAGAGGACTGGTTTTTCCCAACCCAGAGGGAAATATAATATTTGCCAGCCTACTGTGGAAAATCATCTATGAGGTTCCTAAATGAAATAATAATAAGCTATTTATGTTTGATAGAATTACCCAGTAATAAAGATTGCCTTAGACAAATTATATTAAATTGGATTAGCTCTTCAAATTATGGGAAGTTTTAAGGGAAGACTCCCTGGAGGAGGGCAAGGCAACCCACTCCAGTATTCTTGCCTGGAAAGTCCCATGGACAGAGGTGTCAAGGACGCTGCAATCCAGAGTCGCACAGAGTTCGACATGCCTGAGGAGACTTGGCACCATGCACGCAGGTGTCGTTAACTGATATATTCTGAGATTAAGTAAATCTGAGTGAATAAAAAACTACCTAAAGATAAATCTGAAAAACATAATTCTATTATTGGATTGACATAGGAAAGTGATAAGGTAGAGAACAAAGGCATTATTATATTGGAAATGATTCGTAAATCCATCTGACTGTCAAAATTGGATTATCTCCATTAGAGCTCCCAATGACTGACTAATTGTGATCTCCAAAAGCTTTTTCTCCCTCAGTTGTCTTTTTCTGAACACTTTTCAGCACCACTTAATACGGTTAACCTTTTTGATTCTCTCTGCTTCTTTGGTTCCGTTAAAACAAAACAAAAACAGCTGAAGTCAGTTTTTCTCTTATTTTTGACTAGAGCTCAGTTTTTGTTGCCAATTCTTCTTCTTCTATGCAGAATTTTGACAACTTAATATCAAAGATCCTAGGAACTGTACTGGAGCAATGTTTCCTTTTCACTCTGTATGTTTTCTGTCTGCCTGGTCAAATTCTGGTGGCTTCAACCAGCATCCCTACTCAGATAAATGCCAAAGAAAGGCAATGCCAAAGAATGCTCAAACTACCTCACAGTTGCACTCATCTCACACACTAGTAAAGTAATGCTCAAAATTCTCCAAGCCAGGCTACAACAGTACGTGAATGGCGAACTTGCAGATGTTCAAGCTGGATTTAGAAAAGGCAGAGGAACCAGAGATCAAACTGCCAACATCCGTTGGATCATTGAAAAAGCAAGAGAATTCCATAAAAATATCTACTTCTGCTTTATTGACTATGCCAAAGCCTCTGACTGGGTGGATCACAATAAACTGTGGAAAATTCTTTAAGAGATGAGAATACCAGACCACCTGACCTGCCTCCTGAGAAATCTGTATGCAGGTCAGGAAGCAACAATTAGAACTGGACATGGAACAAACAGACTGATTCCAAATAGGAAAAGGAGTACGATAAGCCTATATATTGTCACCCTGCTTAAGTAACTTATATGCAGAGTACATCACGAGAAACGCTTGGCTGGATGAAGCACAAGCTGGAATCAAGATTGCCAATAACCTCAGATATGCAGATAACACCACCCTTATGGCAGAAAGTGAAGAGGAATTAAAGAGCCTCTTGATGAAAGTCAAAGAGGAGAGTGAAAAAGTTGGCTTAAAACTCAACATTCAGAAAACTAAGAACATGGCCTCTGGACCCATCACTTCATGGCAAATACATGGTGAAACAGTGGAAACAGTGACATACTTTGTTTTGGGGGGCTCCAAAATCACAGCAGATGGTGATTGCAGCCATGAAATTAAAAGACGCTTACTCCTTGGAAGGAAAGTTATGACCAACCTAGACAGCATATTAAAAAACAGAGACATTACTTTGCCAACAAAGATTCATCTAGTCAAAGCTATGGTTTTTCCAGTAATCATGTACGGATGTAAGAGTTGGACTATAAAGAAAGCTGAGCACCAAAGAATCGATGCTTTTGAACTGTGGTGTTGGAGAAGACTCTTGAGAGTACCTTGGACTGCAAGGACATCCAACCAGTCCATCCGAAAGGAAATCAATACTGAATATTCATCGGAAGGATTGATGCTGAGGCTGAAACGCCAATACTTTGGCCATCTGATGCAAAGAGCTGACTCATTTGAAAAGACCCTGATGCTGCCGAAGATTGAAGGTGGGAGGAGAAGGGGAAGAGAGAGGAAGAGATGGTTGGATAGCACCACCAACTCAATGGACATGGGTTTGAGTAAATTCCAGGTGTTGCTGATGCACAGGGAGGCCTGGTGTGCTGCAGTCCATGGGGTCGCAAAGAGTCGGACACGACTGAGAACTGAACTGAACTGAGGAACTGTACTGGAGCAATGTTTCCTTTTCACTCTGTATGTTTTCTGCCTGGTCAAATTCTGGTGGGTTCAACCAGTATCCCGACTCAGGTAAATCAAGTCAATGTCTTCTAGTTCTAGAGCTCTAGTTCTGCATTTCCACCGACCCTGTAATATCCCTATTTTACTATGCTAGAGGCACATGAATTTCACATTAAAATTAAAGTTACCTTAAAGAGGATTTTACAAAGGATTTTAACATCCTTTACTAAAAGTAAACCGTTTCTTTTTTAAAATATATTTATTTTTCTGGCAGTGTAGGTCTTAGCTGGGGCATGTGTAATTTTCATTGCAGCACAAGGACTCTAGTTGCGGCTTGTGAGCTTAGTTGCTCGGTGACACGTGGGGTCTTAGTTCCCGATCAGGGATGGAACCTGAGTGCCCTGCCCTGCAAGTGGATTCTTAACCACTGGACCACCAGGAAAGTCTCTGCTCTTTTTTTAATGGTCCAGGTCTTATATAACCGGATTACTCTTCTTCCAAACCAGGTTCCTATAGAAGCCACTGAGAAAGATATTTCTTTCATCAAAATCCTCCTACTGCAGCCACATAGTTTGGCTCCTAAAATTTCCCCCCTGGGTTATTCCAAGCATCAGTTTCTTTGTGTACAGACTCTCTCTCAACAGTTTAGTAGATACTTTTTCCTTTGTAAGTTCCTCAATATCTTCAAAGTTATGGTCTTCTTCATTTCTTTCTGAGTTAAATTTGATGTTGACTATTACAAATGTATTTCTAAATATATTTTCACAATGTTCTCTCCTTTAGTACTAAGATAGCCTAGCTGAACTATTTAAAAAAGGACCTGAAAAAATATATACATATACATGTATATATATATATATATATAACTGAATCACGTTGCTGAAATGAACAGAATATTGTAAATCAACTGTGCTTATTTTTAAAAATTTTTAAATTTTGAAGGTTGTTTCCTTTCTACCATTTTATAGTGTAAGCTTGTATCACTGTATGACAATCCATGATAAAAAGTCTAAATTTATAAACCAAATACCTTAAGGACTAATAATTTACATTATAATGATGTTTTTCACTTCTACCGAGTCATTGCTTAGCATTTTTCTTTTCAAAATAAATGGCTCACATTGTAAAATATTTGATAGCATTTAAACATAAGGTGTTTATCACCCATGATTTGCCATTTATAAAGCCTTAAAAGAGATTGAAAGAAAAGAAACTTCTGTTGGTTTATATAATTATTTAGGAATCTTTACTGCTATGAAATTAAAACACAATTTTGTAATTATAGAAATTTCTACTATAGGATTTTAAATATAAAATATTTATGGACAATTTCTAAAAGATTTTGATTGCAAATACTGCTATCACTTCTTATATATGTGTATCTTTGTAAATATATTTTAATCACCATTAAAAATATGTTTAATTAAGAACTTTATTAATTTTATCTTAAAATATATGTATATTATGTTGTGCTGTTGTTTTTGAGTCACTAAGTTGTGTCTGATTCTTTGTGATCCTATGAACTGCAGCACGCCAGGTTTCCTTGTACTTCACTATCTCCCATATTTATATGTATCTAAAGGTATTTATGTGATATATGTGTAATTTTAGCATATAAAATAAATTCCTACTTGCAATCTTTGTTCCTTAATCCATATCAGTGAAAGAGCTGATATAAATGTTTTCTAAAATCCTTTTAGCTTTAACATTTTCTGATTCTACTACAATCTTCAAGATACATTTGAGGAGAAAGAATCAACTCTGTCCACTTTCATTTGGAACAATGAGACTTTCAAAGATTCTTCTTGCCATTAAAATAATCTTATTTACTCCTTCCCACATCGCTTGTCTTTATCATTGAACCTCCTATTTCATTTCTTGAACATGTCAGTGAGTTCTAATAAGTGGAAAGCTCCTGCTCTGTGCCTGGATTTTATTTGATATAACCTTGAAATTTTGAAATGTAACCTTCAGAACTGAATTTAATTTCACTCTAGTTCTTAAAAGCATGATTATAATATAATTTCTGTTAATGATTAAGAGAGGAATTCACTCATTTATATAGTGGTTAAGTATGTCATAAGGCAAAGGTAGCTCTTATTCTTTACAAAGGGATAGATTGTTGAATTAGGGTGCTGAAAATAAGACCTCAGAGAGAATGCAAGATCATATCATTATTATTGACAGAAAATTAGTTTCCTGAAATCCATAGTTATAATTTTTCTTCCTAGCTATTTTTGTGATGACATATACTTAACAAAAATAATACTAAGTATAAATTTAAAATTATAAGACCATTTGGTCATTATAGAGTAAGATTCCCAAAATACTACTTAATTCTATATACTGAATCATAGTAAAATAACATAGTATCTACTTGCTAGTTATTCCTGTCTCTGCAGACTTCTAGGTTGTGACCACTTTGACTTGCATTTTTTTCATGTAGCGGGCTCCTTTAAAAAAAAAGAAAATGTAAAAAATTTTGATTAACTGTTCTTATAAATTGACAAATGCATCTAAATAAACATAAAAAGCAAGACTGGATTGTGAAGAGCATAATCAGATGCTTTTCTAATTGTCAGGTTACACAGCCTACTAGTATATATACACAGACACTATCACTTTAGATGCTGTGACTATCTAAATTCAGTGGGGAACAAAAAGATGATACTATTCTTCACTATTCCCCCTTAAAGTAACACTTCAGCAGCTTCAAAAAAAATTCTTTATATAAGCATCTTATTCCTTGTCTGTTTTATGTCTGGTAAGTAAACAATAAATCTCTTCTTGAAATTAGGACGGTAAAGGATATTCTAGCAAATTTTAGCTATAGTGAAAATACATAAACAGCAGTCAAAATTTTGGAGATTATATTTATTTAATTGATGCAATTCTTTCTGTCTATAAAATGTACAATCATATAATAAAGTTTAGCAAACCATGTGTTTAGGCTGAAGTAATTTTCTGATTATAAATGCATTATTAAAATAAAAAATTAACAAATTCTGTAGTTATAATTATTGTTAATAATTTTAACTTTTATATTAAAATTAAAAGTGATTTACATACCACCATTATAGTGTTACATTATGAAATCATCACAGTCAGCAATATATTATCCTGAATTTTATAGAAAAACAAATATACAGTCTGATTAAATACTATTTAATACAGTCTAGGCCTACATATTTGAAAACTTGAATCATCTATTTTAACCTTTTTAATCTGTAAAATGGCAATAATAACTAAACTTTTGTTGTTTAGTCACTAAATTGTGTTCGACTCTTTTGCAACCCCATGAACTGTAGCCCACCAGTCTCTTCTGTCCATGGAATATCCCAGGCAAGAATACTGGAGTGAGTTAACATTTCCTTCTCCAGGGGATTTTTCCAAACCAGAGATTGAACCTGTGTCTCCTGCTTGGCAGCTGGATTCTTTACTACTAAGCCACCTGGGAACCTCAGTAATTAACCTTATTGTAGTGAAAGTCGCTCAGTTGTGTCCAACTCTTTGTGACCCCATAGATGAGCCTGCCAGGCTCCTCTGTCCATGGAATTCTCCAGGAAAGAATATTAGAGTGGGTAGCAGTTCCCTCTCCAGGGGATATTTGCAATCCAGGAATCAAACCCAGGTCTCCCACATTGCAGGAGGTTTCTTTACTGTCTGAGACACCAGGGAATCCCTTAACTAACCTTAAGTGCCCCAAAAAGCTTTTTTTTTTTTAATTGTATAAATTATTAATAGTTAAGCACTCTCCTTAGGAGAAATGTACTTGTTATTATTTTCTTTTATTATAGCGAGTAAAATTATAAGCTCGAAATTTACTATTCAAGTATCCAAGAAAGTGACATATACTTAAAAATAAATTTATTATATTCTTGTTTTCTGTTATCTTGTTGCTACTTGTTGAAGACAAAAATTGCTGCTCCACTTTCAGGCAGATTCATCATTCACTATAATGAGAGAAATATATGTCTTAACATATCTATATATAGAACAATAAATTTTATTATTATAACTATATTATAGTATTATACAAATGATTACTATAGTACAATATACATACTATTATAGCAATTATAATATTATAATTATACTATTATATATTAATATAATATGGTTGGAGCAAAAGAAGGTTGAGTGCCAAAGAATTGATGTTTTCCAACTGAAGTGCTGGAAAAGACTCTTGACAGTGCCTTCGATTGCAAGGAGATCAAACTAGTCAATCCTAAAGGAAATCAACCCTCAATATTCATTAGAAGGACTGACACTGAAGCTGAAGCTCCAATACTTTGGCTACCTGATGCATAGAGCTGACTCATTGGAAAAGGTCTTCATACTAGGAAAGATAGAGGGCAGGAAGAGAATGGCACAACAGAGGATGAGATGATTGGATGGCATCACTGACTCAATAGACACGAGTTTGAGCAAACTCTGGGAGATAGTGAAAGACAGGGAAACATGGTGTTCTGCAGTCCATGGGGGTCACAAAGAGCTGGACATGACTTAGGAACTGAACAACAACAACAATATTGTGAGGCTGCCAGGGCTAACACTGACAGGCGGCCTGGACCTAAGTTTCGGTTTCCCCTGAAATGGTAAGATTCCCTACCCCCATCAGGCCGCCTGGAGCCAGCCAGTCAGCAGGCGCCCAAAAAGGGAACAAAGGGAACATATCAAGGGAAAGCTGAAAAGCCCGCGAACGCCTAAGTTTGAACAAAAGCCCGCGAAAGTTTGGACCAATAAAATTGCTTTGCCAACATGTAACCAATCCGCTTAAGCCAGCTACCAACTGCCTATGTTCACCCTATAAATTGGTGTAACAGCTGTGGCTCGGGGCTCTCTGACCCTGCACCACTGCGTTGGATGCGGCAGGAGCCCTGATTCGAGTCAGTAATAAACTTCCCTTTTTGCGAGTTGCATTGTCTTGGTAGCCTTCTCTCTTCCCGCTCGGGGATTCGGACATCGGGCATAACAAATATATAGTTATGTTGGGCTTCCTTGGTGGCTCAGTGGTAAAGAATCTGCCTGCCACTACTGGAGATGGGCATTCATTCCCTGGGTCAGGAAGATCCCCTGGAGAAGGAAATGGCAACCCACTCCAGTATTCCTGCCTGGTAAATCCCATGGACAAAGGAGTCTGGTGGGCTACAATCCAGGAGAGCTCAAGGGTCAGACAGGACATAGTGACTAAAGAACAACAACAAGAAGATAGACTTGCTTTTATTCTCTGCAAATCACTGGAACTGGGTCCTGCCATAGCTGGTGTAAATACACACTTTTCAGAAAAGGTTTTAGGATAACAGGAAGATACATACTGTTAAATACAATAATTTTGCAAGAGACCTAGTATTCTTGGTTACAAGTAAGATCACATTTTTTTTGAGTAACATCACATTTTTGGGAGTAACATCATGTTTTTAAGGCCAATGTTGAAGTGCAAGAACCGATGATGATGCTAGAGACCAGCATACCAGTCTTAGTGGTGTCTTTCTGACAAATAAAATAAGATCTTAAAAAATAAATTTTCATGTTTGTTTGTTTTTTTTTAAAGTGCTATCAATGTCCTGGTTGGTCCAGCATACCCTTAGTTAAGTGTCTGAGCCTCTGGGTCAAAGTGATTTTAAAAGACTTAGTGGGTTATATGTGGAAATATTGTTTGAAAGCTTTTGGAAAAGTTCCTTGCTTTGGGCTAAACTCCTTTGTGTATTCCTGGCTTCCAGGTTTTAGTCAACATTCTTGAAATATAACCTCATTCAGCACCTTAATTGTATTTAAATGATATGACCAAGAGAAGAAAAAAAAAAAATCATTGTGTGCATTAGGTGGATGCTAATTATCACTTGCTTGTGCTCCTTATTTCACAATCCTTTCCTTCCTGCACTTTCGGTATTTTTCAATGGCCTGAGCTGCATTCAGCTGCCTCTTTTTCCTGCTACTCAAAAGTAGAAAGTACACATTAAAAAAAAAAAAGAAAGAAAGAAAGTACACATAAAAAGTCCTTAAGGTACAAATTCTTACTTAAAATATGGTCTCCTGGGGATAAGACCTTGTTCAGTTACACTTCTAATCAGTGTTTTTCACTCTGTGGACACTGCAATATTTAACAAGTGTGGGTAGGGCACTTAAGTTGTGACTGCACAATAAATAGGCCAGACCTGGATGCCAAGCACTACAACTCCCAGCTTCACATTTCAATTATATTTAAATGAGACTGCTAATGAAAGCGTTTCAATGTTCATTAAAATTAACCTTTCAAATTCAGAGTGCCAGTGGGCACTCGTGATAACGCTAGTTTGAGATTTAGGTTTCCAACCACTACTGCATAAATGAAAAATTCAGGAGGGTTGAAATGTCAAGAATGCTTTGAAATAAACATTAAATTGACTAAGAACTTTAACTCTACCTCAAGGTTCATGTTCTCTTAGTTCTTTGTGATGTGGTTACTAATAGTCATCAGTTAATGCAGTAATGTTCTTGGATCTAATGAAGAACAGGCGGCATATCAAATAAATTCACTAACTGTAATCCAAGAAAGAATTATGGTAGAGAATATTGAAGGAAAGTTACATGGCTCAAAATAGCCTGGAGTTAAAACTCCCCCTCCAGGTCTTCCCCACCATTCTATGCAAAACAAAGAATACTCTTACTGGAAAGAAAAAAAAGGACATTAAGGTTGATTATGCCCAGCTTCCAGCTGGGCCAACCACTGGCCATCTCCAGAATTCCTTGCCCCAGCCATTTAAGAGATAACTACTCTGAAAAACCTTGGAGAAGAACAGGCTCCCTTAAGACAGTAGCTTTCCACATATATGCCTATATACACTTACTCTTCTCTTAGGTTAGTGTAGCAGCTCACTAATCTGCTGCCCCTTCTCGCTTCTCTTCTCATTAAAGGTGATCTGTTCCTGTAAAGTGCCCGTCTCATTCTTTTTCTGAACCTCGCCTTCTCTAACTCCCTTACCCTACAAATATTGTATGTTTAGTTGAATTATAAGCTTGAGAGACATTTTAAATAGCCATAGTCCATTCAGTTTTGGGGAAAGAATTTCACCACAGCTGTCCTTAGCAAGTGAGAATCGACTGCATTTTAAATGTCACCAATGTCTTCAGAAAATTCATTAAGATGTGTTGTTACATTTGGCAGGTTTCAACCTATGTGAATTAGAGTAAGGGGTTTTCCAGAAAGCATGAGGCCATACACTCAACACTAGATTTGTGAGAATTAGGTGGGGCAAAGGATGTCTTAGCAGTAGCACTGCAAATCTCTTGAATTTAAAGGCAAAGCTTTGAAGTCCAGATATGAAGCCTTTTCAGGAACTAGAGGGCAATCCAGAATTCTTTATGCAAGAGTAAGGCCTGTGTGGGTTCTGGCATAAATTATGAATAAACCCCTACATGAGCTTATCATTGAAGGGCAATGACCCAAAACATGTAAATATAATCTAAGATG